TCCTTCGAAAATTTTACTCCGTAAAATTTAAGAAGTTAGTAAGTAGTTTACAAATAAGAAAATAAATAAACTAAATAGATAAATAGCTAGTAATAAAGTAAAATAATGATAATAAATATAAAAATTTAAAAATACTAATATACCGCTAATATAACAATATAGTAGTTAGTAACTCATTTTTATTTAACTATTTTATTTAAAAACAGTGATTTTTACTAAGCGAATATAATAAAATACAGTAAAACTTATATGCCAATGTTTGTTGCCTATTTTGCTTTATTAAATCAGTATCTTTAGATCATTTCTACCTTTTTTATAGCATAGCAAACTAAACTCAGGTGGCCTAGTAGTAGTATTTTTTTATACTGTTTCTTGTTCCAATATATTTTCATTGTGATATAAAAGTTGTGAAATTCAGAGAGATTCAACTGATATTAATAAAATATGCTACAAAGGCTTCGAGTTTACTTAGTGTAACTTATCATCTTTCATAGCAAAAATAGATTATACAAATTCCTCGAAATAGTATTATAAAACATATAAAAAAATTTTTTATTAATTGTGTAATGATCTTCAAAATTGATGAGATAGTTGTACCTGTTCTTTACTCATAGGCAGACTTTCATATGATTGGTTAATTTCTGTAGATCTATCTGTGATTTTCCGCAATAATAAACTAATCAAAATGTTCAATTTATACAATAGTAACTGTCTTAGTATTACTCTAAAAATCAGTTATATAAATTGGTGTTTGAGAAATTTAATTGTACCAATAATATAACTATTACAAAATTAATAATTTTGTTTTTGCAAATATTATGAAATTATTATGTAATTATAAATTAGTAATATAGAAAACTGGAGTTTAATATATCTTAAACTTTATAAGTAACTGATCTTTAGAGTGATACTTAGTTCATCTAATAGGTATAATATATATTATGACAGAATTTGAAAGTGCTAGCTTGTTTATCTAGCATTTATATTTTCGTATACAATGTTCAAATTAAATATTTTTTAAATAAAATATTTTTTATTATGATAATAATAATCACAAAAAAATTAGAATTTTTTTTTTTTATTATTTTAAATATTTATTAAATATTATACAGAGATTTTGCTATTGTAAAAAATTATATAATAAAATAGATTTGATACAATACTAAGTCACAATAAATTAAACTATTTCATTTGAAAATCTAATAATGCTTTTTCAAATAAATTTGCTGTATATTTTGTTAGCTTTTTACATTCGTCGTCATCATCACAAGGAATATTATTTTTTTCTACCACCTGTTTTTTTCTTTTTTTATCCAAGCTTCATAAGGAATCTAATAAAGATGCAACCTGTTCATCAACACCACTTCGCAAGAATAAAAGGAAATGAGAATATTTAGATTTGTTATTTCTGTAACAAATCTTATGATAGGTGTGACTACAAGCTAGAATTTCAACAGGATTAGTAGATAAAATAAAACAATTTGATACATCACAATGACAAGAAGGATTTGGCTTATGCAAAGTACTAAAGCCCAAGAGTAGATGACACAATCGTGCTTCTGGCATTTTTATCGCAGTTAATAAAATGATGGCATTGTGATTTGTCTGTAATGAAAGTGGTATTAGTAATTTGTGATGAACTAAACATGTATAAATTTTAGAAAAGCAATTCAAAAGAGAACAGGAGCATTTTTTTGTCAAAACCGTTATATCCTATGCTAATTATTTATATACTGCCCATGCAGATGTGTGCACAAAATTTTCTCTAAAGCCGTTGTCATCTAGATGCAATTGATTAATATAGTATCCATATTTAATGATTTGTTGCAATTCTGTGTGTTTTTGCATACTCCTACATAAAAAGCTGTGGAATATTTCTACTGGCATGTCTGAAAATTTTGGAAGTTCAGTTTTAATAGTCTCCAAAATTAAGTGGTTGTTCAATTTCTAGTAAAAGATATCAAAAAGAAACATCAATAGCACTTTTATATAATTCTTGTGATGAAATCTATAGAATATTGTCCAAACATGAAGCAAGATTCTAAATAAGCATTAAAATCACCAGATCAGAAAAGAACAGCATAAACATCTAATATGAGTGGAATTGTGTTATCAAGAAGATCTTTAAGTGTAAGATATTCAACATCTTTGTACAAAGGTCCAAATTTAGTTTTTACAATTATAGAAATCTCTTGTCAAGCACTACAAGAAATCTCTAGAAGAAGATTGATACACCACAGTTTGGGTTTTGTGCTAGAACTGCCCAATCTCCAAAGATATACTTATACATTGCTACAAAAAGAGATTGATACTGAAGAAACACCAACTCTTGACTATTCAATGAGATGTGAAGAGGACCTAGTATGGGAAGAAAAGACAGTATTGTATTAGTAATATTCAATAAATTACGATGAACTAAATAACGTGAAATTGCTATTCTGATATAAATTTGTCCAGGCCAATCAGCTATAATAGGAATAACATATTCTTTCTGGATATACTGTTGTAGAGTTGGAACATTCACAACAGTGTTAATGGCATTAACATAATCATCCAAAGTATGAATATTGTTTTCTTGTAAATCTATAAGAACGACATCTTTCATTGAACGAGAATTTCATTTCTCTTTTAACCTAACATCATAACTGTAAACAGTTAGTTCTTCCATTCTTGTATTATCATCAGCTACATAAAACCCCTATCGTTGGTTATGTGAAAGGCTGTAAAGATTCATGAACTTATTTTCTATATTAGTTTTAATCAACTCAGTACTAACTAATCTGATTTAGCAAGAGTATTTATTGCAGTATCAGTAGTCCCAGTAGAATCTAAATATATAGTCAAATCTCTTTGAATTGTTTTGTAGAATTTTTTTATCATAATATAATATAAAACATTTGCCATCCCTAGTGAACCTTCAATATTGGGCTTTATTTACTTTTTCCCTATGGTCATATACTTCTTTCGTTCTTGTCCAGAAAACTTTTCCAAGCTATATCTCAACATTACCCTTGGCATTTGATGTGCATGTTGATTCAAAAACTTGATAAGGGTTGATTTTGATTTCTACCGGGTTATAAATACAATAAATAGTAGGTTCATGGATAGATTACGTAAATAAAATGTAAAGGACACACATATTACCTTGCCCACTTCCCTTAATGTCCATCCTGTTGCTTTATGTATCAAATCTTCTGTGTCATTTAAAAACATTTCTGCCAATTTTAACGTATCATCATATTTACCATTATTAATAAAACATTGTGTCGATACTATTGCAATCCTTCTGTCCCAGATTCGTTTTGATACTGCTAGTTTATCATATAACCATAGTCGTTTAATATCAGGTTTATCTTTCAAAAATTCCCCAACGATTTGGCTTGCCGAGGAATCAACCAAGTCCCAGTTATTAACTCCTTCTCGCATTTGCTCAACAAAAAATCTAAAAATTTCCGTAAGCTCTACTGGATCTTGTGTATTTTTAAATTTTGTCACTACATTTATAACTGCTAACAGTCTTTCCTCATGATACTTTGACTGAATAAGCTCTTTTAAAATTGAATATGGCAAAAAACCCAGGC